TTTAGTACTTAGTGTTCGATTTCAGTCGTGCATGTGTGGGTCGATTTCAGTCGTGCATCTGTGGGTCGATTTCATTCTTCTAAGTCATCAAGAATCGTGATTGAGTTCAAAGGTTAGTTTTTTCTTGATTTTATTTTGTTTTTTTGTTGTTGTTATACTTAGATTTCGTAAGGTTCATGATATGTTGTTAAATATTGGTTTCGATCTTTGAGTGAAATGTAACTTTATGCTTATTTATTAGGGTTTATGTTATGGTACTGTTAGATATCAAACTTCGTATGTAACTTGTTATTCATATATTCATATTGTCACATATGTTGTTATGGTATGTTCTAAAGTATTTTTCAGTATGGGTTGGTTATATTTGTTTGAGTTCTGTTCTCTTTTTAACATACAAGAAGACAAAGACGAGTTGGGTGTTGTGTTGTGTTGTATTGTGGGGTTACAGTGGGTCTTGTGTTGTGTCTGTGTGGGGTTACAGATAAATAACCTTATCCTAAAAAGAAAAGGATATGTTGGGTGTTGTGTTGTGTTGTGTCTGTGTGGGGTTACAGACCTAATTCTAAGAAGACAAAGATATGTCGAGTATTGTGTTGTGTCTGTGGGGTATGTGTGTTCTGTATGTGTGGGGTTATAGTTACATTAAAAAAATCCAATAACTACTGGCTTTAACTTGAATTGTTTTTATATTTGTTTGGGGGTGTGTGTGTTTCTTTAATCAATTATTGTAGTTTATTAGTAACTTGTACTTAATTATTGTTAATGTTTATGCATATAGGTATGAGTGGATTTACATTCATTACTTTAAAGTTGTATCATGGTGGGGCCTTATTGTATGAAGGTGAGGAAGCAAGATATGTGGGTGGATTAGTGAGTGAATATGTTGATGTTGATGTGGATACAATATCATATTTTGAGATTAAAGACTACATTAAAGAACTAGGGTATAGCCCAAATTGCAAATTTAGTATCCGGCCACCTAATAGTTGCATCTTAGGAGATATTGACAATGATGATATTCTCTTAGCAATGTGTAATTGTTTGCAAAATGGGCCTGTTTTGGAAGTATATGTCCACATGCCTGAAGAGGAATCTGGTGCAACTTTTAATAAAGTTGGGACCACTGAAAATAGGGCTAGTGAAAACATTGAATATAATGAAGTAGGTGAGGCTGCTTTTAATGGGGTAGATGTATCTCTAAATACTACCTCAAATATTCCTTCTACGTCAAACCCAACAGCTCCAAATACTGATCCATCAGATTCTGAAGATAGTGAATACTCTGTAAAAGAATCTGATGAGTCAACTGAAGAAAGTGATGATTCTGAAGATAGTGAACCACTTGAAGATGATCAATATGGAAGTGATGTTCATGAAGAGCTTATTCAACTGAGGGCTGAAAAAAGATCCTTTCTGAGGAGGAGGAAAAGAAGAGAGAGAATTCCTGCAGATGCTGAAGAAGTACCATGTGGTAATGCTGGAGCAGATCTTGGGTTTGATGAGACTGCTATCAATACAAATACTTTAGAAGGAAGACTAGGGGGTGATGAACCATATTATGCAAATTCTAATGCTTGTAGTTTTGAAACTGACACAAATGATAATTGTCTTGAAGAAGGTGAAAAAATGAGGTTGAAACTGCCTAACACAAAAAGGAAAAAACATACCACAGACAGTGTCAAATTTGATCCCAACAGTAAGAAGATTGTGTGGCAATTGGGTATGGTTTTTGAAAGTGTAAAAGAGTTTAGATTGGCAGTCACTAAGTATGCAATTCAGAGAAGGGTTCAGATTGAAAAGTGTGTGAATGAGCCAACTAGAGTAAGGGTGAGATGTTGCAAGGTAAATTGCAAATGGTTGTTATATGCAAGTTTGGACAGGAAGACTAACAACTTTGTTATTAAGACTTACATGCCAATACATTTATGTCAAAAAGCTTCTAGAAATTACTTGTGCAACTCTAAATTCATTGCTAGTGTTTTTAAAGATAAAGTGATTGAACAACCAAATATCAGAGTGTTCAAGTTGCAAGAGTTAATCAGGAAGAAGTATAATGTTCATGTTGGTAAGACCACAGCTAGAAGAGCAAGAGCTAAAATTTTGAATGAAATTATGGGTGATTATGTTAAGGAGTTTGGGAGAATTCTTGATTATAAGGATGAGTTGTTAAGGTCTAATCCTGGGAGTACTTGTGTGGTGAAGCTAGTGAAGATGGTAGGGTAGTATTTGAGGCATTTTACATCTGTTTTGCTGCATTCAAGATGGCATTCATGTCAGCTAGAAAATGCATTGGTTTGGATGGTTGTTTCTTGAAGGGGGGTATGCAGGGGTCAATTACTTATTGCAGTGGCCAAAGATGGCAATAATCAAATGCTTCCACTTGCTTGGGCTGTAGTTGAAAATGAGAACACAAACAGTTGGAGTTGGTTTATTTCTCTGTTGCAAGAAGATTTGGGATTAGGAGATGGAACAAATTTCACCATTATGTCAGACATGCAAAAGGTAAACTTGTTTTTATTTCTCTGTTGGTTTACTATTTTTTCAACTTAATTATTTAATGTTTGTTGTAACTTGTAGGGACTGGATTTAGCTATTAAGAAGTTGTTGCCAGCTTGTGAGGAAAGAAGGTGTGCTAGGCATATACTAGCAAATTGGTCACAGAATTGGAAAGGGCTGCAAAGGAAGAAACTGTTCTGGAAGTGTGCTAGAAGTACTTTTGAAGCTGAATTCAGAGAAAATCTGGAAGAGCTGTCTAAACTAGGTACGGGTATAGTGGATGATCTAATTTACTATGATAAAGAATATTGGTGCAAAATGTATTTTAATTGTGAAGTCAAGTCTGATGCAATAGATAATAATATGTGTGAGAGCTTTAATGCTTGGATTTTGTCTGCAAGGCATAAAACCATTATTAGTATGCTTGAAGAGATAAGGATTAAGGTCATGACTAGGTTAGCTAGGTTAAGTGAATTTCCAAACTTTTGGATAACCAACTTTTCTCCAATGGCAATGAAAGTATTAAAAGAAAATATTGATAAGTCAATGGCATGTAACATTGAGTTTAATGGAGTAACTGGATATGAGGTTTTAGATGGATACAAACAACACACTGTATGTTTGAGAAAGAGGGAGTGTAGTTGTAGATCTTGGATGTTGAAGGGAATACCATGTGCACACGCCTTAGCTGCAATGTTGCATAGACAATATGATCCATATGATTTCATTCATCCATGCTACTCTAAAGAGAGGTATTTGATGACTTACTCACATTTCATACAACCTATGAATAACATGCCAATGTGGCCAGAATCAAGAAATCCTCTAGTTGCTCCACCAGTGATTAAAAAAATGCCAGGTAGGCCTAGAAAGCTGAGAAGGAAAGAGGCTGGTGAAACTATGGTGTCTGGTAAGCTGTCTAAAACTGGACTAACTATGACATGTAGTCTTTGCCATGTTAAAGGTCACAACAAAAGAAGTTGTCATTTACGAAGGAGTGATGGAGTTGGTTCTATTGCCGAGGAACATAGAGCTACCCCTACTTCAAATGTTGAAGAACCATCAAGCTCAAGAAAGGGAAGGGGAAGGGGAAGACCAAAGGTACATTACTATTTTGTCACTTACTTTTAAAGTTTAATCAATTTACTAATATAATAAATGTTTTTTAGCAAATTAGAAATCAACAAATATTGAGAGTGAGCCTGTTGCAAAAAGAGGGAGAGGCAGACCTAAAAGTGCAAGTGCAAGTGCAAGTGCATCAAAGGTTGCACCTAGAACCACTGCACCTCCAACAACTTCAAGAACACCAAGACATGAAACAAGTGCAAGTGCATCAAGGGCTTCACCTAGAACCACTGCACCTCCAACAACTTCAAGAACACCAACACATGAAGCAAGTGCAAGTGTAAGTGGTGCTGGAGTATCATCAAGAGCTTAGAGTGGTAAAGGAAGGGGCAGGGGACTGGGAAGTGCAGCAAAAGGTATTAATCATCCACTTGAAAGTTGGTTTACATGTTCTCAAGGTAGTACAACACAAGGTGTAGACTAGAATACAAATGTTGCACCAAAGGAAACTGCTACTGCTAGGAAAGGAAAGGGTGTTGGAAACACAACTCAATTTAAAAGGCCAAGAGTAACTGGAATGGGTGTGTTTCAAGATGAAAATGGTCTCAAAACTTTCAATGTAAGTATTGTGATGCATTCATAATGTTTGTACCCTAATGACTTGATAATATCTGTTCTCTAATAACCTTACTTCTCTAAAAATTTTATAGCTTGGACTGCCAAGTAGCAAAATATTAGCTGGACCAAAAAGAGTTTTGAGATCAAATGTTGTAACTGGGATGTTGGTTTCAAACCAACAAGTGGATTGAAGTGGAAAGGAAATCAAGCAATCACAACTAGAATGCTCCAGCATATTAGAGATCAATCAAGGCTTTCAAACCCAAATGATTCTTCCTCTTCACAGCCTCGAGACCCATGGAAACTATAATGTTGATAGCAATGGTGTTTTCTTAGTACTGTTTTGGTGGCCACTATAAGTACTATTTTGTTTCATGTTTGAAGGAAAAACAACTATTTCCTGTTTTTTGTTATATGTATGTATGAAATAGTACTAAAATTATGGGTACTTATGCAATGTGAAAAATTTATTTTGCTTTTAAGTTCACTTTTAGAATCAACTTTGTATTGAAAATTTGCTCTTAAGTAATGAAGTTCTGGGCACTTATGCAATGTGACTTGTCTTATTTATGTGAAGCTTTATTTTTATTTGCAAGAATAGGTACTGCAATTTTGGGTACTTATGCAATGTGTTTTGTGTTATTTCTGTGTAGCTTTGTTGGGAGAATAGGTACTGTGATTAATACCTCTTGACTTACTTCATTTTACAATTTCAAACACAAACAAATCATGGCAAATAGAGAATTAAGACATTTTCAAACACAAACAAATTCAAATTTTCATTACAGTAGAGCAAATAAAGGTTTCAATACCACACAAAATTATGGCAATTTCATTTGATCCTTCAACCTACCAACTTGGGTTAGAAAGCTAACAAATATAACAACAAAACAAATCATCAAACAACAAAGGAATTTCCCAAAACAACGACAGCCTTCATCATTTTTCTTCATTTTCATCCCTTTCATTTTCTTCTCTTTCAAATCACTCATTTCTTTTATAGCACGACCCTTCCCCTTTGAATTGATGTTGAGATTTTCATAACGATTTCGAAGACTTTCACCTTCATCCAAAGGAATTTTTTCTTGTTTTGACTGTTCAATGTTGGAATTATCAAGTTGTTCCAATTGCATTTTCACACGCTCATATTTTTCTTCTAACTCCTTAATCCTATTCACCAATTTCGGAAGAATAAACCGAGATCTTTCATCGACTCTCTCCTTGTCTCTCCATCTAAAAAAATTACAGTTCGTGGCCTCATAGTGAGGACAAGACCAAAATCGTCTTCCGGGATTGCGATCTGACCAAGACGTCTGCATTTGCAATAAGATTCCATGCTTGCATCGCACTTCCGCATTGATCATTGAATCATTTTCATCCATACACAACTTATTCAACTCGCATTTTGTCATAACCCTAATATTTATACATAAAAATTGTGAAAGAAATTTAAAATCAGAACTAACAATCGAAATAAAAAGGTGTAAATATAAGGAATATATTAAAATTTTACTTTACCTTTTCGAAGCAAGAAGAAATTTAACTTGAATGATAATGATAATGGAGGTTTTTTTTTCTAAAGATGAAGAACAATAAAGAAGAAGAAAACTTAGTTAAAGATGAAGAACAATAAACAACAATAAAGTTTATTTTAACACGTGGCCAATTTTTATTGGTCAGTGTTGTCTAAAAATTGCACCCACGCGCCTAACATAGGTGAAGTCACAGACTCAGGCACGTAGGCCAAAAAGTGGTAAAAAATTAATAAAAAAATAAGTTCGGGGGGGTAATAGGACCTTAGTAAAGGTTAGGTGTGTCTTTGGGATTTCGGGCATAGGCTGGGGGGTACTTATGCATTTTCCCTATATATATATATATATATATATATAAAGCACGTTTACTCTTTTCGATATAATTCATATGTACTGAAAGATTTTTTTTAATTCCACAAATATCACGTGACTTTAAAATATTACCTTGCACATTTTTTACTCCTCCAAATCCGATTTAAACTCAACTCATACCCAACCCTCGACTTCGAATGTGAGGTCAAGGGTTCGAGTAGCTGCTTGCCACTAAATTCTAATCATTTCTTTTTTCTCTTAATCTCTTTTAACTAAATCACTTACCTTAATAACTACCAGAAGACTAGAATGTTGGAACTCCAAAACTTCATAAAAACTTGGTCTTTGGGGAGAAGAAGGTTGCTCAGATGGTAAACATCATCCACTTTTAATTTTAAGATGGTGAATTTGAGTCACTAAAAAAGTTTTAAAAATGAGAGCTCTTAAAGAGGGGTTAACAAAAGTTTCTCCAACTAACTTCATCTACAAAACCTTAATCATTATCGTAAGATGAGAAGAAAGTTGAAACTTGAACTAATTATTACAGAAAAAACTTCAACTCCATAAAGGTATTTTTGGACACAAGATTTGGTTGCTCAGATGGTAAATAACGTCCATCTGTAAGCTCAAGATTATGGGTTTGAATCACCAACTTGATACAGAGTTGGGAACTCTCTAGAAACTATTTTTTTAATTCATTTCCTAGGAGCTCCCACTTCCTTACCGAGTTGGCGACTCGAACCCACAACTTTGAAGTTAGAGATGAAGGTGTTTACCATATGAACAACCGCCTCTTGTGTTCGAAACTCTCTGTCTTAAAAGAAAAACCCTTTATGAAATTGTGAAGAAAATAGCAAAAAAATCTGCATTTCACAAAAGGAAAAAAAATCTTCAACATGAAGTTATTTTCTTTATGTTATTTATTTATATTTCTCTGATGTGAATTTTTAAAGTTCCTTTCAATTTTACAATTTATTTATATCTTATTATTAAAAAAGTCACACATATATACATTCATTGTCTAACAAAAAGAGTATATATTTACTCTTTTCATTAACAAATTCATATTTATTGAATTAAACAAATATAAAATTATAATCCTTCCGTTTTTTCTTTTAATTCCTTGTAATTAAATCAATTACCTTAATTACTACCAAGAGACAAGAATAAAGTTGAAACTTGAGCTGATTATGAAGAAAATCTCAATGAGAAGTTAATGTAGTATATATTCCTATGATGCAGTAATGTAGTATAGGGATTTAAAAAGTAACCTTTATGCCCTTTCAAAATATCATGCAAATAAATTCTTCTTTTTTTTAAAATGAAAGGTGCAAATATATTTTTTGCTATTTAGAACGGGTATACTCATTGTTTAAAAAGTCACACACACATGCACGCACACACACATATACAAAGATTTTTTTAATTCCACAAATACCACGTGACTTTAAAATATAACCTTGTCCATTTTTCACTCCTCCAAACCCGATCTAGACTCAACTCATACCCAACCCTTGACTTCGAATGTGAGGTCAAGGGTTCGAGTAGCCGCATGCCACTAAATTCTAATCATTTTTTAAATGTCTTTTAACTAAATCACTTACCTTAATAACTATAAGAAGACTAGAATGTTGAAACCTCACAATTCCATAAAAACATGATTTTCGGGGAGAAAGAAAGTTGCTCAGATGGTAAATATCATCCACTTTTAATATTAAGATGGTGAATTTGACTTACTAAAAATGTTTTAAAAATGAGAGCTCTTAAAAAGGGGTTAACAAAAGTTTCTCCAACTAACTTCACTACAGAACCTTAATCATTATAGTAAGATGAGAAGAAAGTTGAAACTTGAACTAATTATTGACGGAGAAAACTTCAACTCCATAAATGTAATTTTTGTCACAAGATTTGGTTGCTCAGATGGTAAATATCGTCCATCTCTATGCTCGAGATTATGGGTTCGAATTAGCAACTTAGTATAGAGGTGGGAGCTCTGTAGAAACTGTTTTTTTAACTCATTCCCAATCTTCAACATGAAGTTATTTTCTTTATGTTATTTATTTATATTCCTCTGAAGCAAATTTTTAAAGTTCCTTTCAAGTTTACTATTTAGAGTTGATATGTTATTGTTAAAAAAGTCACACATATATACGTTTATTGTCTAACAAAAAGAGTATATATTTACTCTTTTCATTAACAAATTCATATTTATTGAATTAAAAAAAATTAAAATTATAATCCTTCCTTTTTTTCTTTTAATCCCTTGTAATTAAATCAATTACATTAATTACTACCAAAAAACAACAATAAAGTTGAAACTTGAGCTAATTATGAAGAAAATCTCAATGAGAAGTTAATGTAGTATATATTCCTCTGATGCAGTAATGTAGTATAGGGATTTTAAAAGTGACTTTTATGCCCTTTCAGAATATCATGCAAATAAATTCTTCTTCTTTTTTTAAGGAAAAGGTGCAAATATATTTTTTGCTATTTACAACTAATATACTCATTGCTAAAAAAGAGACACACACGCACTTAGGCACACACACAAAATCTAGACCGAACCCAACCCTTGGCTTTGAATGTGAGGTCAAGGGTTCGAGGAGCTGCTTGCCACTAAATTCTAATCAATGTTTTTATCTCTTTTAACTAAATCACTTTCCTTAATAACTATATGAAGACTAGAATGTTGAAAATCCACAATTCCATAAAGACTTGGTCTTCGGGGAGAAGAAAGTTGCTCAGATGGTAAACATCATCCATTTTTAATTTTAAGATGGTGAATTTAAGTCGCTAAAAAAGTTTTTAAAATGAGTGCTCTTAAAGAGGGGTTAACAAAAGTTTCTCGAACTAACTTAACTATAGAACCTTAATCGTTATCGTAAGATGAGAAGAAAGTTGAACTAATTAATAAAGGAAAAATCTTCAAATCCAGAAAGGTATTTTTGGACACAAGATTTGGTTGCTTAGATGGTAAATATTGTCCATCTCTAAGCTCAAGACTATGGGTTCGAATCACCAACTTGGTATAGAGGTGGGAGCTCTCTAGAAACTATTTTTTAGCTCATTCCCTAGGAGCTCCCACTTCCTTACCGAGTTGGCGACTCAAACCTACAATTTTGAGGTTAGAGATGAAGGTGTTTACCATATGAACAACCGCCTCTTGTGTTTGAAACACTCCGTCATAAAATAAAAGCCCTTTATGAAATTGTGAAGGAAAAGAGCAAAAAAATCTGCATTTCTCAAAAGGAAAAAAATCTTCAACATGAAGTTATTTTCTTTATGTTATTTTTTTTTATGTGATGCCCTAGCTTAAGATTAGAATTCCTATATTGGCAAAACATATGAGAGGTGCTGGGTATATAAGTAAGCAGCAGTGTTCAAGGAAGCGTGAAGCAGAAAAAAGCGATAAGCGAAGCGCTCGCTTCATTGAAGTGAAGCGTAAATTAAAAGAAAAGAGACCAAAATAAATAAAGACAATATATATGACCAAAATCTCAAATTAAAAACCAAAAATTAGACATCACAAATCCTCCATATAACATAACACAAGCAAAATCAAAGTTATATGCATGGTTCAACATCTAATTTTTTTAATTCTACAATTCTTCTACTATAAGATTATCAGAATCTTGTATGCCTCCATTATCATTATACTGCTCATCATCTTCTTCAAGCCCATCACTATCTCTTTCAACTTCATCCACTAGGAATAGACTTGTAGCTACTTCTTTTCCCCTCCTATGTGAGCTTGAAGTATTTCCTCTTAAATCATAACGGTTCTCCTCAACCCCACTTGCCTCCTCAACAACACCCCAAGTATTTCCTCTTAAATCATAACGGAATAGACTTTTAAAAAAAGGAGTTTTTTTTTGCTCTTTTCCTTCACAACTCGGTAAAGGTTTCTCTGAAAATAAGAGGACGTTGCACATATAGTAAGCACACTCAACCTCCAACCTCAAGATTACGAGTTCGAGACATCAAAAGAGAAAAAATGTGGAAGCTTTTTAAGGAGAGGGTTAAAAAAGGTTTCTTTGGACCAACTCCACAACTACTTAAAAACGTTAGAGGGCTCTAAGGATGAGATCTCTTAGAGCACCAACATCAAGTTTGTGGGTTTGAGTGACCAAGGAAACAAATAGATCGAAGCTCTTATGATGGAGTTAGTTCAAAGAAACCATAGAGGGATCTAAGAATGAGAGTTATAAATGATTATGGAGTTATTTGTTCTTTTTCTTCACAACTTCATAATCGCTTACAACCAACATTCTTACAGCACTACTCTAGGGTCTATTCGGACTAAACTCCTATCAAGGAGCTCCCACCTTTTTGCTCCTTTGACGATTCAAATCCGCAACTTTAAGGTTGAAAATGAAGACTGCTTATCATCTGAGCAATCCCCTCTTGTTGTCGAGCTGTGAATGAAAAAAGGAAAAGAGCAAAAAAGTTTGCATTTCCCACAAGGAAACATTTTCTCCATGACATTAATCTCCTCCTTTTAACTATCAGCATAAAGTTTTATATCCTCAAAAGTAAAGATCCTTTATTGCACTTGTACAATTGTAGTGAGACAAGTTTAATCTGAAATTAAACTTAATTTGGTTAAAGTACAATATAAAAGATGAAAAGAATTAGTTACCTTAATTACAATTAGAAGACAAGAATAAAGTTGAAACTTGAACTAATTATATCGGAAAAAACTTTAGGGGGAGATTGTTTCCTTTTGGGAAATGCACACTTTTTTTGCTCTTTTCCATCACAACTCCATAAAGGTATTTTTCGGAGATAATATTTGATTGCTTAGTTGGTAAGCACTCTTCACTTTGAACATTCGAGTCACCAACTTGGAAGGGAAGTGGCCGAAGAAACTTTTAAAAAAAAAACTCATTTCCTAGGAGCTCCCACTTTCTTACCGTGTTGGTGAATCAAACCACTAACATTGAGGTTAGAAGTCAACGGTGTTTACCACATGATCGACCTCCTCTTGTGTTTGAAACTCCCTCTTGTCTTAAAAATAAAAACTTTATGGAATTGTAAAGGAAAAAAGGAAAAGACCAAAAAAGTCAGCATTTCTCAAAAGGAAAAAATCTTCACCATAAATTTATTTAGAGCTAACACATATTTTTTATTGTCTAAGAAAAAAAATATATTTCCTTTTTTGTTAACAAATTCTTATTTACTGAATTAAAAAAAATCCTTAGATTAATGTTTTAATTTCAAAAAATTTACCTTATTTAAAAAAATTACCTCACCTTTTTTTACTCTTTTAGACTTGACACGTACCCCACCCATTTTTGGAGGTCGATGATGATGTGAATGATAATTTCATTTTAAATATTATCTCAAATATTATCATTTTTATGTTGTTATCCTTCTCAAATAATAAATTATAATATTTTTTTTCTATATTATTACTGTTTTGTTTAAATTTACTGGCAAAATTATTGAAAATTTTATTATTTCTTATTTTCTTAGTAATAAAATGAGAAAATTTTATAATTGGTATATTCTTATTTTTTATTATAAAATTGAAGATTCATAAGACTTACCCACACCTCGTAGATCCATGAAACATTGTTCTCAACAGACAAGACTGAGTTTTCATATGCTCCCTTGGATAATTATTGATAGATACATCATACATCACACCCCTTGAAATATGACTCTTCCCTGAACCTTTTTAAAGCAAAATATTTTATATATCGAACTGTCCTTGATATCAATAAATACATCTAACAAGGGTCAGTTGGAATATAGCTAGATTCCTTTTGGTATAAATCAGCAACTAACCTAAAAGATATGAAAGTAATTCACAGAAAATGGTCAGTTGTCCATGATATGTACTAGTATCAGCTATTAATGTTTCATCAGGCGTAGACTTATTATTTTTTATTTATAAGTCCTTGAATAGTCATAACTCATGCCTTCTTCATCTCTACTTAACATACTTATTCTAATATTTTTTAGATCACTTCCAAAATTTCTTCCACCCCTTGTATGAATCTTATGTCCTTTGAGAAGCTTTTCACAGTCCTCTTCACTTCCTTCACACATTAGCCATGCAAATGTTGTTTAAAAAAATATATATAAATTTCAAATTGAGAAAAGAGAGTCGCTCGAATAGTAAGTACTAAGTATTTCTTACCTTTAACTTTAAGGTTATGAGTTTGAATTGCCAAAAAAAAACAAAAAAAAAAAAAAAACAAAAAAGATGAAAGCTTCTAGGAAGTTATAAAAAAGAAGAAAGAAACTTTTTTCCAAATATGTGGTCCTACACATGGCATAATATTTTGGTGACTTTGAAAATCTGTCATCAAGGATAAATTGAAAAAATTACAAGTTAATGAGTTTTCAAATCTAAAAGGTTAATATTATTTTTTTAAACGGACTAGAAAAAGAAGTTATATTATAATACTTTTGTAATTACTTACGAGGGTGTGATTCACAAAAGTCTCTTGTGAAGAGACAATTACTGAAGAGTATATTTCTGAAGGATAAAATGATTATTAGTCTTAGTAGGCGTTTGGCCATGCAATATCATATCACGATATGGTATCGTGAGATGGAATCAGCGTTTGGACATGCAATTTTACGCTGATTTCATCTCATGATTCTATATCATGAGAGGTGATACCATATTCTCCAAAAACCATGATATGGAATTATATGGTGATTCCATATCATGATTTGGGATCTTTTAATACAATAATTGATCCATGAGTTTATATTTTGTTAAAACAACCCCACATTTATATCTACTAACCATTTGTTTCATATGTAAATAAAATTTATAATCACATCATTACTTTTTAAAATTTATTTTTCTCACCGACATAAAATTTATTATTCTCACCAACATATAGTCACTTTAACTCACACCTCACGATTGTGAAACTTTTCAACATTCACTTGAAACAATTAACTGGCATGTTAAAATAGTTGCCGAGGCAATTAACAAGATGGCACCAACATTTATACAACCAAAAATTATGACTGGTGTACATTCCAAAATTCGACATAATACTCGATTTTGGCCTTGATTTAAGGTAAAATTTCAATCACATTAATACATTTATTTTATGGCCTTAATAAGTGCACATTTATATTTAATGTGTAAGTTATTAGTATTTAGTTACATATTTCCTATCAACTTTGTTTAAAGAGATAATATTTATTTTATGACTTTGCATTGTCTTGAAAGCACTATTTTTATTACTCTTACAAATATTATTTTTATGAAGTGCATTCTATAATGCTTCCAATTTATTTTATGTTCACTAAACTAATATTGATGTATTTTTTTATTTGGTAGGATTGTGTTGGTGCGATTGATGGAACATATATAGAAGGGGAGGTTCCTAAAGCGGTGAACAAGCATATCGTAATCGCAAAGGAGGTTCCTAAAGCGGTGCAACACTACATTTTATGTTCAATTTTTGTTATTAAATTAAAGTTAGATGAAACAATTACTTAAGTGGAGAACAAATAACTTTGTAATAATTTATTATGCGATTTTATAATTTTTTGTGTATTTGAGAAGATTGAATAAACAATTGGGGCTATTTTAATAGTTTTACAACTTATGGGATTTTTATGTTTATGAGAAAATATACAACACAAAAATTCCATATCGCATGTCTAAACAAACCTTCAATTTTATCTCATGATTCCATATCATGATACCATATCGCATGGCCAAACGGGCCCTTAGTAACTTTTTTTAACCTTTGCCATTGCTCAGACAATATTTAAAGAAATTTTCCAATGTGGGGTCCAAACTAAATTGAATACAAACATCCGGAGCATTCAATTTAGACGTTGATGTTTCGATTTAATTTAGTTTGTATTTGAAAAGAGTGTAAGAATAACGATAAAATTGTCCTCATGTTATTTATAAATTTAATCGTAGAATCAAACACTAATCCAAAATTGCCTATGCTAAAAGACACTTTGAAACATTTTGATTAATTATTAATAATAATTGTCTTATTATAGTTATATCCAGAAATAACTGATTTTGTGAGGTCAAAGCGACACAAATGTGGAATAAATACATTCCTCATCTTTAACAGAATATACCTTATGTTCAAAAAATGGGATAAACATTAGGGCTGGGCATTGGTAATTTAGTTCGGTTTGAGTTCTTTTATTTTGATTTTTTCAGTTTTTGAAATTGTTGTATCGAATATCGAATTGAATTAATTCGATTTATTAGATTCGAGTTTTACACGCTTAATTAGTTAATTGAAAATTAGACCAAAAAAAGAAAGAAAATGGAAGAATAAAAACAGAAAATAATCAAATAAACAATCGAATACATGGAACTAGAAGTTAAAAACTTGAGATCGCAGCAGTTGCAATCACTGGTCGCGATGCTGGTTTAGGCTAACTTGAAAAGTTGGAATTGGAATTTAGAAGAGAAGCAGAAGCCAGAAGGTGCGGCGAAAATTGGAAAAATTAAAATGAAAAGTTGAAAACCTAATGCTAATTGCTAAGTTGCTATTTGCTAAGGGTGAAAAGGGAAATAAAACTTAAAAGACAAATTGATATAATATTTAAATATTATAATATTAATAATTACATAATATATATTATAGTATATATCAGTGTTTTCAAAAATATTTTTTGGAGCTAGTCTCGAGGCGGAAACACCAAAAAACGCACTGGGGCGCAAAAAAAAATGTAATCCCTGGGCGTAAGTCCTAGAATTTGGGGCGTAAGCTCCAAGCGTAATAATGTAAGCCCTGGGCATAAAAACGCATGCTCTAGGCGTTTTATTGTTTTGAATCTTTTTTGTTTTTAATCATATTTTTATTAGTGTAAATTTGATATATGACATATATTATAGTACTATTTTCAAGCTATAGCAGTAGATTTAGACTTTCAAGATATAACATTAAAAATTTCAGGTTATAACAAATTCACAAAAAAA